TTATTTTTACTGTATCACATCTTCAGGGAGAAGCAGAAATTACAGTGCTGCTTCTCCTGAGAGAGCTAGTGAGAATTAGTTGCTCTTTGGTTGTCTTCTGTTATGGGCAAATAGTAATCCCAGAGGAGGCTGTTCCAAGTGGAGATGATATTTCCAAGGTCCATATTGCACCCTTCGTTTGTGGATCTTGCTGCACTTTGGAAAGTGCAGTGGATCTTTTGTCTCCCCTCCTCTCTGTTCAAGTATTATCATCTCCATTCTGTGGAAACGAGGAAAACAACAGAGGGGATAAATGACTCACCCAGAATTAAGCAGCAGTTCATAATAGAAAGCACAGATCTCTGAAGGTTGGATCACGTCGATCCCAGGTACCTTTCAGACAGGGAGATGGTTTTGAACGCCTCTCTCTCTGGGACTTTGCAAACCAGTTACCCAGGGCTCTGTGCCACTGCTTTCTTCATCTCAAAAATTCTGCTGATGCAATTTCAGGATTCTTTTCCTGATGAGTTTCAGGGTGCGCAGGACCTATTAATACCACCTCCAGCACAGAGACTTACTCCTCACCGCAGGTGTCTGTCCCTTAATGTGTGACAGCATTAACGCCAGGTAACCATACTTACGTGGCTGGCCAAATAATTTAATTGATTTGTATGCCTTCTGTTGAAATATTTGAGAATACACAGCAACGTTATCACTTTTATTTATTATCTAATCAAATCTATTCTAGTTGTATTTTGTAGACCAATTGTATGTGACTGACATCCATGAATGAGGTGTCTCATTTGTGATTAGTAAATTGTCTTTCATATGCATTTCCAATGTGATGGGTCCAAGCTTTAAATTTACAGAAAAATGACTGTTTAAATCACCTCAGCTTGTCCCCCCATAGCATCATGAATGGATTTTGAAAATAATGTGTTGGGCAGTTCCTAATTTCAAACATTCCTCTTCATGATAGATATGGCTATTTAGTATTTTGCTTTCCCACCAGTACAGCTTTTTTCATTTCTTGAATTCAAGAACTTCCCAAGGGAGGTTACAGTGACCATAAGCCATTTTAAAGACGTGGTGGGGGAGGAGTATCTAGTATCAGCGCAGCAGTTTAGCAGAGTCAGGAAGAAAGCAGAGGTTTCCTAAGATCAAGGGCAGTACCTTGCCTAGACAGCAGTATTACTGTGTCTCTGCTGTTGTAGCTTTGAGGGGAGGTAGGGGTTATCTCTGTGTTACTTTCAAGTATTGCACAAAATAAATCTATAGATAAAAGAAAAAATTGGGTGGATTTTTTTTTCCCCCTTTCCAAGTGGAAACTAGTTTTAGATATCTACACATAGCATACTTTTTAAGGTGGGGGAAAGTTGTAATGAACACTTCCACCTACCAGCCAGCTTCTGTTGAACTGTTGGCCTTTTGTTTGTACTGGTTTGGACAGCGAGGTGACACACCAGCCTGGTGTCTGGTCTGGTGCACTTGTCCTTTCCTGGAGTCTGCCTTGCATGCAGAAATCCCTATTGTCTGTATTCCGTTCACCACAGCAACTTTGAAATTCAAATCTCTGCTGTACTTTTAGTCAAACAGTTATTGAAACATTGTCATGTAATCTGTGTCCTTCCATGACAGGCTTATGCAAATATATAAGTACCTAATGGTTCTTGACACAGCTAAAAGAAATTTGGCCTTGATGACGTTGTTTCTCATGGGAAAAGGCGTTTACAGATGGGGTAAAAAAGGGAAGATATAACTCTTCTTTCTCAATTTTCTTTTTCCTGTTGTTTTCTACTAATCCACAGAGGACAACACAACACGTCAAATCTGTTTACTGCTTGAACAGTCCGGGGTGTTTGAATGTCTTTGTTGTAATTTAGGAAATGAACTGACAGATGAAATTGCGTTGGGTAGCCACTAAAAATATACACTGAAGGAACTACATAAAATCCCGAGTAGAAATTAGCTCTTTTTTTGCCAGTGCAATTTATGATGAGAAATGAGCTAAGCTTCTTCCTCAAAGTCACAGGTATAGATCAGCTAGAAGCTTGAAGGACTGCTGGAATCTGGAGAGGTGGCACATTGATCTACAGCTCTGAGAATTGTGCCAAGAAAGGAAAATCAACAAGATCTTCACCTGATTTATGTAGGCCAGACATCTGTGACTTGCCTTTCGAAGGTGATCTCACAGAGGCGTAATTAAAACTTGATGATGTTATTAAATAATCATGATGATTTGTATCCTTGCGTTGCAGCCGTGTGCGTGTTTTAATGTGCTTATAAATGTGGTTAGTGCCTGCTTGTGAAAATGAAGGTTAGAGAGGCAGGAATTTTGCACACAGCACTTACGTGGAAGGTCTCCAAATTATTCTAATGCTGGATTTCTCTGTTTCAGTTTAGAACTAGGCAAATTGCAAGTTAGTGGAAAAAATAAATCCAAGAAGTTTTTAATTAGTAAAACTGAGCAGCCTCTAAATTTGCCCACTCCGTAGAGAGAGGCAGTGCTCTGATATTGGAGATGCTGACTTGGGGCTGGAGAGAGTAGGGTAAGACAGCAGGTTGTGACTCAGTCTTACGCTGGTCTGGAGAACACTAGTAACAGTGTGTTGCCTTTTCCTTCATCCTCATCTTACCTGTCAAAAGGAGACAGAAACTATTCGGACAAGGGTTGTCTTTCATTATCTTGAAACACCGAGCAGAACGTAGATGTGACCTGAGCTGCCGCTTGTAGATATGCTGGAATGTAAACACTGCTGATGTGCTTTTATTTGTGAGTTTTTCCATTGAATTGTATTATTTTGGATAGAATGTTCAAAACATACAAAAAACTACATTTGACGTTGAGTATGGATTTTTTTTTTTTCCCCTACTATCTGGATGCTGGTGGGAATTTTGAAGAAGCTGTTTGTCATTTTCTTTTGAATGTTTTTTAGGATTTGTTTTGTGCTTGAAAACATTGATCCTGCTTTATAACAGGCCTAACTTTCTCCATTTATATCAATAACAGTGATTTTTACTCTTTCATTTTCAGACTGAAAAGGCATAAAACATAGTATGTTGCCTACTTAGAAGAAAATAAAAAAAGGCAGTGGGGAGGTGGCACTTCTGATTCTGCATGCAGAACACTGAACGTAGTAGATATGGTTAGGGGCTGATTATCATAAGAAGCATGAGTTAGAACCAATGATCAAGTTTCTGAGAATCCCTAGCCTTTCCATTAATTTTGATTTATAGATTTTTATGAGCAGGAACAGTGATAAGCTCTGGCTCTGAGGAGGATCAGAAAGGCCAGTGCGTGTCGAGGGTTATTGCCTTGTTTCGTGCTGTGATTTACACAGCGAAGGTACTGGCTGCATTCTTCTGCTTGGTGTTATTTTATTTCTACTAATCATTATAGTATTTCATGACTTAAAGACAAGTGCCCTCTGAGAGTCTGTTCTGTTGTGTCTCTGACATTATTACAGGCTGAAGGTCTGGTTATTGGAAGTGCTGAGCCCTTGCAGCTCCAGTGGAATGAATGGAAGCTGAAGGTGCTCTGAAAATCATGCCTGAGGCATTTTATTCTTTTAAAAGGATTGAGTAGTGCCTCATAAATATAGGTCTCTGCTTCAACTAATTTTCTCTTGACTGCACATCCATTGAAGTAAATGGAGTTTGTTTGATTAGAATGAAACCCGTGCTCCAGAATTAACTCTTCTCCTTGCTACATAGCTGCGGAATTGATTAGATCTTAGTAAATCTGATGTTAAAATTAAGCTTCAAATTTACAATTAAGCTTCAGAGTTTTGCTTTGTAGTTGGAATACTGCATGTTGGGAGAGATCAGAAACCCTTTTTCTGTGCGGGTTCGGGTGATTCTAAGCACTGCGGGTGTTCCTGTGGCAGAGCCCCTGGTGCAGCAGAGGGGACTCACGGTGCTGGAAGGGCAGTTTGGCCAGAAGAGCCAAGCGTTTGCAGGGAGTCAGCCTGCCTGAGCCATTCACGTGCTCCTGCAGAGTTTTAATTCGAATTTCTCTGGTTCCACTGAGAGAAAGCAGATGTCAAACAGTGATCCAGCCACAGGAAAAGGGTGATTTGTCCCAATGCTTGATAATTCCACTGTTCTTGCAGAGGAGGAAGCTTACCTAAGCAATGGCTGTTTGATCCTGAAGTAAGAGAAGGTGCTGGCATATAGAGATGTGAGTGACTGCTGGAAAAGTCCGAAGGAGCACTCATACAGAGGTGAAAGCTGAGGATGAGAGATTTGTGGATTCACAGCAGTCGTGCCAAACTGTACTTTTCCTTTCTGGGAACATCATTATTTCATTTTTTTTTTCCTTCCTTAAAGCCAGTATTTTATTAAAAAAAAAGGAAGTTTAGGTTTGATTTGGTTTATTTTTTTTTTTTCCATCTCAGATAAGGGACAGATGACAGATCATTGCTCTTGTTTCCAGTCATTTTCAAAGAACAAATTTAATCAGTTACATTATCGTCTGTGGGTCTGTCTGGATTTCTCTGGTTACCGCTGTGGTGTATCCATGTATGATATGGTAGATCATCTGCTGTGCCAGCTGAGTTTCACATTTCGGTGTGTACATTGATCTAATACTGTTTTGCGACTGATGGGGTTTGGTGTTTGGTTCTCAGCAGGCAATATGTTACATGCTGTTGGCAGTGGGGAAGGCTGTTGTTTTGATGAGGAGGCTTGTGCTTCTTCCCTGTGCCTCTCTGTCCCAGCCTGAACAACAAAACCTGGCACAAACCAAACACCCACTGAGAGAATACTCAGGCAAACAGGTAGTTCCCTCCTCTTGTTCTTGCTCTTTGTCTCCTGCAGACGGGCTCTGTACTGTGTTTCATTGTCTTTCAGACTGTAGACCTTTTCCAGATGATGTTTTGATGTCCTTTGCCACCAAAACTGGGGTTCCTCTTAATTACAGTATTTTCTCAATTTTGTGGCTGATAGTATTTTATGTTTATTTTCTGAAGGTCCTGCCTGTACATGTTTTATTCCACTCCCCCTTGTTTTTCTGTTTTTAGCCAGTGAGACCTGCAACGATTTCCATCCCATGTTCTTCACCCATGACAGATCGTTTGAGGAGTTCTTCTGTATCTGCATTCAGCTCTTGAACAAGACATGGAAGGAAATGAGGGCAACTTCAGAGGACTTTAACAAGGCAAGAAAAAGGCTGGGGTGGGAATAACTGGGCAGGATGGTGAAACAAAGCCACGTGTTCTTCCCTAGAGGCACAGGGATTTACTAATCCCCCTGGTGCTGAATGCTGTGGAGTTTCATCTGTTCAGATTCTTTGCACGGCATTTAGAAAGTGGGGGTAGGGGATGTGGGATGTAACGGAGGTTCGTAGACCTTTTTCAATCATGTTGCACTGCAGACTGTGAAACTAAAAACCTGGCTTGAGGGGAAATTCTGCCGTTTTATGTTAGCAATATTATGCTGAAGTGCTGCAGCCTCCAAGGTTGTAAATAATGCAAAAAGAGTACTGCAGTGATAATTCTGTGCATCCCTTTCATGTGAGCACTAGAGTGGTAAAATATTCAAGAGTGGACACAGTCCTGACAAAGTGCTGTGCAGTTTAGCCAGCTAAAGCAAAAAAAAACCAAACAAAAAAACAACAAAAACCACCCCTCAGTATTGCACCCTTTTTGTTGTAAGACAGAATTCTTAAAGTTTCAGCCAGTCTCCTGACTATCAGCAAAGCTATGGAGAACAGGGATCTCTGTCTTAATGGTCCCTGGACATCCTGTTTTAACTGTCTGATTTACCCTGAGGCTGAACAGCGTCTCTGGCATTTTGTAAGAATGACAAAGGTGCCTTTGTGGCCAGCTGGCATCCTTCTCTATGTTGGGATCCTCTGACTGGATCTTGAACCTCTCCCTGAGACTAGATGTTGGTTATAGAGCTGCTGCTTGAGAACAAAAAGTGAGACTGCTGCACTGTGTCAGTGTGTGCCGTACCACCAGCCACCAGACTCAAATGTTAGGTGGGGGCTGGTAAGAATGATCACATCTAACTTCTAATTGAAACCGTGTATTCTTGAAGTGGCATAAAAGTCCATTTTTCACCGCAGAGTGAAGGTGAATCCTTAGGACACAGTGTAGAATAACCTTTATTGAGTTCTTTTAGGTAAGACAGTTGGCAGCAGTACCAAGGCCCTGGCCAAAGAGAGAGGGGAAGTCCAAAATACGTGCTGTTCTAGCTAGATGACCTAGAGGCTTGTTCTTGCATGGAATTTCTGATGTGCTTCTCTTACCTAGTGGTGCAGGAGCACAGAAGGAGCAATAGCAAGATAATTCACTGAATAGTATAGAAAGTTATAATCAACGGCTTAAAAAAGGTCAACAGCTTTTTAAAGACTATTTCATAACATGTGGTTGTTTTAAAAAGAATGTATTAACAACTGCCTATAAGTCTTCTGTCTCAGCAGAAGAAGGATTTGTGTACAGAATTTCCCACAACTTGAGTTGGAGCATTATTAGTAATCCTAGGGGATTCAGGAAGAGATGGTCCTGTTTCTGGCAACAGCCCAGATCATCCCAAAAAGAAAACAAAGATATTTACTTTTCAGTGTTAGACATTGCTATGGAGCTTCGTGGAAGATCAGATACTTTCTTCTGTGATCTGTCTAGTTTGCTGTTTGTGTTTTCTGTTGCTGAAAATCCTGTGACTCCACCTGACAGCTCTTTCAGTGTCAGCAAGGCGGGCATTAGGTCACTGAAGAGGTGATCCTTAAATCCGTGGGGCAAATCTGACACATTTGCCATCAGGCTACCAGGATTTGTGTCTAGTGGTGGCACTGTGGTGTGTGAGATGAACCCAGGATCTCTGCCTGCGGAAAGCACTCTTGGTTTTGTAACTGTTTTCTTAAAGGGGAGAGAATACTAAACTCTTGTCACTCTCATTTCTGGCAGTTCAGTAATTGCGTTCTGCTTATCTAAATCCTTTCTTTTAGTCATAAGGAGATTTTTGTGCTCTTATCCACTTCAAATGACATGTGGTGATGTGCATTACTCAGCTGATAAATGTCTAAAGAGATCTGTGAGTGAAGCAATCTGTGTCATTGTGTGGGCTTGTGAAGCACTTCTGGATTTGTGGGGGATGATACGTTGGATAGTGGTACCCAAGGTTGACCCATCTGGTTGGTGGGTGACAGCTGCCAGCGCTGATGGCTTTACCAAACCAAAGAATACCATTTTTAATCCTTACCTGGCAACAGGCTTTGGTGATCACAGCACGTTAGTATTCCTTAGGCATCTTTCTTGTGGGCTAAGGGTACCTGTTTTCTATGTGTTTACTTCTGGAAACTTGTCATGCGAAGGCCAGTGGACTGAGGGAGCATTCAGCCCCTGCTTTCAGGAGTGAACGGGGAGCAAGCAGGCCTCACAAGATGAGATAGCTTAGTTGCTATGAAAAAAATTCTCTTTTATCCTCTCTTTGTGTTATTTGATTGGCATAATAATAAAGCGGTGTTTCATACATGTATGAAACACCGCTTTATTATGGTTTGCTACCCGCCTGGCTGATGGGATCATTCATGTTCTTCCTTCTTCCCTTCCACCCCAAAATCCCCAAAACAAAATTGGACACTCTCAGTATACTGGATGGTAACTGTAGATTCTGCTGAAAAGCTAATCCACTTGCTTTGATCTTTAATCATAATTGAAGAAAAGGAGGTGGTTTTTTTAAGTTTAAACTTTGGATTAATCGCAATAGCTGGTACATGGAGGGGCTGTAGGAGATCTGTGTGCACATGTAGAGATATGTTTCCTCCTCTCTTGCGTTGGAGACGGATCTGTGCTAAAAGTGAGGTGATTGAATACCTCAGGTTTTGGTGCCCGTTCTCAAGGGTTTTTTAAGCCACAGATTAAGACTTTCTTTTGATGACAAAATGACATACTGTGCCATCGTGATTCCTCAGTTCGTGTAATGCAGATTTCATATAGGTTTGTTCATTTTTAAGGCTTCAAAAAAATAATTAAGGCAGCACTTTGTTCATAGTTGGAACAATTTTACAGTGTTTTAGTGAAACATTTATGATCTCATGCTTTGCCTTTCCAATTCTCATTCATTAAAAGAGACACGTTTTGTCAGCTCTTGCATTAGAAAAACTTCTTGGATCTCTGTGGTGATAGTATGATACTGTCAGACCTAAAACCTTTTTTACAGTCTCTCAATATACTGGTAGATGTTGGAATAGAATAATTCAGCCAGGCAGCTAAGCTTGTATTATGCCTTTATAACATTTTAAGATATACATAATTCACGTCTGGTGAGTTTTCTAGAGAAATTAGGACGTGGTTGAATAGACAGCCATGCAAGTGGCAAGAATTCCTTTTGAAACCTTTTTGTTTTTCTTTGAGCCTACAGATGATCAAAGGACATTTTACAAGCTCTGTCCTCCACAGTCATTTGTGAGCAGGCAGCATGGTTTATGACTTTGAAAATATAATCTTGTCTCCAAGCTTTACATAATTCTACATGTTTTATTGCAGCAGAAGAAAGCATTATGTATTGATTTTTGGAATCAGTGCTGACTGTAAGAAAGCCGGACTGAGTTATCTCGAGCTCCAACATCTAGAAACCTTCATCACCAGCCTGCACATTTAAATAGGGGCCCATCAGTCAGTTTTCCTTCCAGTGGGGACCACCTAGCCTCTGCTCAGGGTAGTCAGGCGCTGCTGCCACATAGACTAAGATGTGCTTAATCTGGTTAGAAGCGTTTTTTTATTTTCAACATGATGGTAGGTGGAATTCAAGGTAACTGCCCCACTGTAGAATTCCTTCCATGGGGCCAAATAAAAGCATACTCCCAATGGAAATTTTGTTGTTGATCCCCACTAGTTGTCCTTAAGTAAATGCCCCTCTGCTGCCCTAATAAGGATTTACATTGAAATGGCTATCTTGTTAGTGATCTTCTTGTAAAATACACATATTGTTTCTTGTGAGACAAGGAGACCACAGATAGGACATTATGTAGGGGACAAGATTATCCTCTTACCGCTGGTCTCCAGAGATTTCAGTCTGCTGCTTTTTGTAGGTTTGAAGTTCTCATGCTAATAGGAGGAAGGGTGACCAAATGGATTATTTTAATTGCAGGGCCAGCCATAGCTTGTCTTATTAGATCTACGGAAACAGTATGAGCAATTTGTTAAGTCTGTACCTAGTCTAGTGCCATCTTAAAAATAAATAAAGAAATAAATAAAGAATAAAAATTACTGCTTCCAATCCCAGTGTGGAAGGAAGAAGATGAAATTATTTGATTCACTTACCAAGGTTTTGAAGCTGCTTTGTAGAGAATGGGCACAATGATAGCTGCTTTTATGAGTGTGTTAATGTAGTTTTAGGCTTTTAGATGGCCGAAAATGACTGCACATAACAAGACATAGATTATCATTTCAACATGGCTAAAGTTAATTAGGGGATGCCAAAACTGAAAAACTTTGAAAGTCTTGTGGTGCACGGCACTTGAAATCAGTATGTGCTGCATTCACTGAAACTACAGATTTAAGGAATAGGAAAGTGGGACGAGGTTGGCTAATGATGCTACCGATGCACTTTTCTCATTACTGAGAACTCTAGTTAATCTGTTTTGCCCGCTGGCCATGTGTTTGAGATCACCATAGTATAAAACACCGGCTTTTAAGTGTTCTGCGAAAATTTGTTTTGTAAGAAGCAAACTCTTCTCAGAAAACCCAAAAAACTCTAGTTTCAGCATTTTGGCAAGACTAATGTTCATTTCAGGGTGGCAGACCTGGCTACCCTGAGCAGCTGCACTGCGGTATCTGCCCATTTCAGGGACACACCAGCCCGCAGCGCTGGATCCCCGTGCAGGAGTGGGGTCTGATCAGCAAGAGGATAATATGTGTCACTGACAGGTATATGCATAGCAAACTGTCTTTGTGTGGTACTCAGCAGAGTAGACATTGTTCACAGTGGCAGCAGATGCAAGCAATAAATGCCCTACGTGAGTCCTGTAATTAAATACCAAAGCAAACACTGAGGCATCTGATAACCACAAAAGATGTTTATTGCTCATGCTCAGACCCTGTGAGCATTTTTCCTTGCTCTGTGACAAGATAACAGAAAAGGTAACCAAGCATAACATAAAAATGACGAATACCATTTCCTTGCTCGCTGACGGTTTGGAAATGCCATGCC